ACCATTAACACACACCACTACCACCACTAACACACACTACTACCACCACTACTACCACCATTAACACACACTGCTACCACCACTAACACACACTGCTACCACCACTAACACACTGCTACCACCACTAACACACACTGCTACCACCACTAACACACACTACCACCATTAACACACACTACCACCATTAACACACACTGCTACCACTAACACACACTACTACCATTAACACACTCCTAACCACCTACCACCATAACACACTGCTACCACCACTAACACACTGCTACCACCACTAACACACACTCCTACCACCATTAACACACACTACTACCACCATTAACACACACTGCTACCACCACTAACACACACTCCTACCACCACTAACACACACTCCTACCACCACTAACACACACTACTACCACCATTAACACACACTGCTACCACCACTAACACACACTACTACCACCATTAACACACACTACTACCACCATTAACACACACTGCTACCACCACTAACACACACTCCTACCACCATTAACACACACTACTACCACCATTAACACACACTGCTACCACCACTAACACACACTGCTACCACCACTAACACACACTCCTACCACCACTAACACACACTCCTACCACCACTAACTCATACTACTATATAAATAAATAATGGTTGCCCCTCGTGTAACCAGGATGGCCGACCCAAGGGCCACCTAGGTGTGAGTTTGTTTGAGGTGTAGAAGCTGTCGCCAACACAACAACCACACCCTGAGTTAACGAGCTGCATGACCCAATGTCAAGGAATAGTCCGAGAAGACCGGACAACTCGCCAACTGCACTGGCTAACCATTACCCCGGAATACGGTCCGCAAATTGATTAACATCCAGGTTCCCAATTACTGCTGGGTAGACAGAGGCAAATGGTGTAAAGAAACTTGCCCATAGTTTCACCCTGCACGAGGATCGAACTTCTACCACTATTAACACACACTACTAATACCACCAAAGACACTACCACCACCAAACACTACTACCACCACTACCAAACACTACTACCACCACTAACACCACCACAAACACTAATACCACCTCTACTATTAACACTACCACCACCACTATCACTAACACTGCCACCACCACTACCAAGCACTACTATCACCACTAACACACACCACTACCACCACTAATACACTACTACCACCATTTACACCACCACAAACACTAACACCACCTCTACTATTAACACTACCACCACCACTATCACTACCACCACCAAGTAATACTATCACCACTAACACACACTACTACCACCACTAATACACTACTACCACTATTAACACCACCACAAGCACTAACACCACCTCTACTATTAACACTACCATCACCACCACTATTACTATCACCACCACCACCATTACAACAACACTTTTACCACAACTAACACTCAAACTATCACCACAAACAGTATGTCCTTAACCCGTGCCACACATGCACTGGAGAGAGAGAGAGAGAGAGAGAGAGAGAGAGAGAGAGAGAGAGTCTAATAAATACGTGGGAGGTGATTGATGGGACGAGAGACACCGTGGGGGGGCGATTTGAGACATGGAGGGTGATAACGACGTTGAGGATGAAGCAAGGATGGATAAGTGATGGTGGAGGTTAAGAAGGAAAAGGAAAGGATGTGGGTAAATAGGGAAGGAAGAGGGGGAGGAGGAAGACGATGATGATAATGAGGAGGAGGAGTAGGAAGTTTAAAAAGTGTGAGGAAAGAAGAAGGAAAGAGGGGGGAGGGATCATCTATTCTAATAATACAGGTATAAGTGAGAGTAAGACAGGTGGAGGCTGGTGCGTATGTAGGTTAACCAGTGTACTGATAACTGACAGCCAAAGCAGGTACTGTATATGATGGTGACCTGAATGTAATAGGTGCAAGATCATGAAAATAGCAACAAACTGGAGAAAAACAACAATGAAGAACTACATCAAAGGGAGGCAAGAGGCCGAAAAAGTTTCCCAATGGTGTTGATCAATGTCGTGTATAGCCAACAAACACAGCTTCACTATTACGCGACACGGATGATGCTTGTTATGACAATAACAGTTGCACCTATACATACTCGCTGTGCATAAACATAACCCTCCCGTGCTTCACCCAAAAGTGTTAGAGCACACGCACGCACACACGCGCACGCGCACACACACACACACACACACACACACACACACACTACTACCACGTTGCTGTCACTCGGAATCAAGTATGACGATCATCCAGCTTAGAAACAATGATATGAGTTATTAAGGATGTCATCTTCGTTGGTGAGTTTTGTGGTGACTCAAGAAGCTGATACGGGACCGGCAGGGTCGTTCACAGACGTTGCACGTGTGGATGGCTACATCTAGTGCGGGAGGGGCGAGAGAAGCGTCTTTCCGGCGTTGCCACTGCCTGCCTCGGCTTGCAGTCGGGCTAATTAGACAGTATTGACTCCTCCTTGTGTGGTGCTCCTCCAATCGTCTCCCAGGTGAAGGGGTCGATATGGCACTTTTCAGGTTTGTCTTAAGACTGTCCGTATTCCTTTTAAGTTGCCCGCCAGTGTTATGCTTACTATTGGTTAGATGACTTAAGAAGCTGCTTTGGCAGTCTACTGTCGTCCATGCAGATAACATGGCCAGTCCAACTTAGTTGTTCGTGGATAATAGTAGCCTCGATGCTCCTACAGTTGGTGTCAGCGAGAATACTGGCATTTCTTCTCTTGTCTTCCCAGCGAACTCGGAGAATGAAACGTAGACTACATTAGTGAAAGTTTTCAAGTGCCTTGAGGTGTCTCCTGTATGTGACCCATGTCTCGCTCCCAAATAGCAGGGTGGGGAGGACCATTGCTCGATATACGTACAACTCTGTAGATATTTTCAGCTTCCTACAGCTGAATACACGGGTACGGAGTCTGCCAAAGGCTTGAGATATGCATTTGATCCTATGTTGAATTTTTTCATCGATGTCCGCGTTGGTGGACAAGTGGGAGCCAAGATATTGAAAGTGGATAACATTAGAGTGGGTAGTACCGTTAAGCCGGATGGATGGTGGAGGTGTGGCTGAACTAGGGGCAAGTTGAAAGAGAATCTGAGTCTTACGTACATTCACCTCAACACCGAAGTGCGCAAACTCATCTGCATAGGTGTTCAGGATCACCTGTAGGTAGCGTTCAGTGCGAGCGATAAGGTTTAAAGTCATCTGCATACTGAAGTTCAGTAATGGATGCTGCCGACACCTTTGCTCCTGCCTGGAGTAGTCTTATGTTGAAAAGATCCTTCATTCGGTACTCGATGTCCACCCCGCCGGCGAAGTTGGCACTTGCACGAATAAGGAAGGCAGCCAGGAAAATGGAAAAGAGAGTTGGTGCCAGTACACATCCTTGTTTTACCCCCCTTTGCATAGGGAAGAACTCATACTGCGTGCCATTGTGCAGGACATTGGGAGTTACCTCGCAATGGTGATGAATTTTGGTGGGCAGCCAAAACGGCTGAGGATCCATCAGAGGGGTTCCCTGTTGACCGAGTCGAAGGTCTTCTTTAGGTTGATGAAGGCAATGTACAGGTTAAAACGCGGTTCTCTGCACTTTTCCTGAATCTGGCGGGCAGCAAAGATCATGTCAGTGGTACCACATGATGGTCTAAAGCAACATTGAGATTCTGTGAGAAAGTTTTCCGCCTCAGGGAGAAGTCTGTTCAGGAGGACTCGGGCGATAATCTTGCCAGCTATGGACAGCAGTGAGATCCCGTGGTAGTTGCCATAGTCTGGCCGGTCTCCCTTGTTCTTATAAACATTGACAATGGAAGCTTCTTTAAGAGCTTGGGGGATTTCCTCCTTTTCCCATATATTCCCCAGGAGAGAGTGGAGACAGCTAGTAAGCAGAGATCTTCCTGCTTTATGCACCTCGGCTGGGATTCCACCAGGCCCCAAGACTTTGTTATTTTTCATCTGTTTGATGGCAGTAGCTACCTCATCCAGATGGGTCAGCTCTGGATGCAGAGGGACCTGCTGGGTAGTCAGAAGATCCACATCGGTGTCTTGGTTGAGCAGTGAATGGTAGTGTTCTTTCCAGCACTGAGGAATGCCTTCTTTGTCTTTAGCCCTTAGGCCCCGGGTGACGTTCTAGAACGTCCGACCAGCGCGCCCTGGGTGACTCCCAGAACGCGTGCCTATTCTCGCCACTATTTAGTGCCCAGTGCGGGTTATCAGGTTCCAGTGTGACTATTTGCTTGTCACACCACACGCTTGGCCACAGGGAAGCTTCCTGAACATAATTACCTACTTTTGTTTGTTTCATTTTCATTGTTTGTCTATTTTATCATGTTGTATCAAAGTAATATTGCTAAAAGTAGTGTAGTTGTATTGTAGGGTAGTATTACTGTAAAACATTACTATGATTGTTATAAATGTATTTATTTGTGGGATTATTATTATTTTATGCATTACTTGCTCTACCAAACAACTGGGTGTTGATTTGTAAACCAAGCGAGTTGTTAATACCTGAGATCACGTCCAGTGCACGTTGCATAGATTCTGTATCAGTATTGCACAGTCATCTGCACACTGTAGGTCTATGACCTGAGTTGTTAAGGTCTTTGTGTAGGCTTCTAGACGTCTAATATTCAAAAGACTACCGTCAAAACGTTACTATGCCCACACCTGCATCAGGCCCAAGGGTATTGTGTGAGCGTTGTGCTACAGCCAGCAAAAAGGTGTTAAACAACACAGGTGCCAGCACACAGCCATGTTTTATGCCCATTTGGACACTAAATGGTTCTGACTGCACACCACCCACAAGTACCCTGGGTTGAATTTCATCACGCATCTGGCAGAGGATGTTTAAAATTCTTAGTGGTAAACCGACCCTCTCCATCATAGTCCACAAAAGTTCTCTGTTTACTGTGTCGAAAGCTTTGGAGAGGTCAATGAAGGTGGTGTAAAGGTCTTTATTTTGCTCTCGGCTCTTTTCTTAAATTAGCCTAGCTGTGAAGATCATGTCTATTATACTGCGATCCTTCCTGATTCCACATTGGAATTCGGGAAGAGTATTCTCCATTAGGTGTTGGATAAGTCTTGATAACATGATTTTTGACAGGATCTTGCCAGCAACTACAAGGATGGAGATGCCTCTGCTGTTACCACAGATTGCTTTGTCACCTTTATTCTTATTGATTGTTATGATATTTGCATCTTTCCAATCCTGGGGGATGGACTTTGTGGCCCATATGGTGAGTAAGAAACTATGGAGGCGCTTAGTCAAATGGGGAGCTCCATGTTTGTAAATTTCAGCAGGAATGCCGTCAGATCCAGCGCTCTTGTTGTTGCTGAGCCCTCGTATTGCAATTTCCACTTCTTGTAGGAGTGGGGCTTCATCATAGGAGGTGCAGGGTCGGCATGGGTGGGATGTTATCCAGTGCTGTTGGTGTTATTAGATTAATTTGATTTCGAAGTGTGCTGAAGTGCTCAGCCCATCTTACTGCAATCATTTGATTGCTTTTGTAGAGTGTGGTGCCATCTAAAGATCTTATTGGTGTGACATTTCTTCTGTGTAGGCCATAAATGGACTTAACTGCCTCATAGAAGCCGTGTGTGTTATTGACATCAGCAAAGGCTTGAATTTCTTGTGCTTTTTTTACCCACCAGTCATTTTCCATGCTGTGTAACAGTCGTAGTCTTTCTGACCTGATGTTGGTTAACCGGTCCCTCAGTGTTTGTGATTGAGGATTTGATAGCACTGCACCGTGGGCTTTTTGGGGGGTTTTGAGAAGATCATGGATGGTAGGTGAGTTCTCATCAAACCAGTCCTGATGTCGCTTTTTTTAAAAGCCAAGTGTTTCCATTGCAGCTTCACTCATTGCAATCTTCAACTCTGTCCAGCCATCTTCCACAGTGCCAGGTTCCATAATATCATGGGCTGGGAGTTTTTCGGTGATCTTGTTTTTTAACTAGTCAGAGGTTTCAGGATTAGTGAGGGTTTTGATGTTGAGTTTACAACTGGGGGCTTGCCTCAGGTGTTGGGGTTGAATTATCATGTGAATCCTGGATCTTATTAGCCTATGGTCCGTGCCACAGTCTGAACCCTCTTGGCTCTTGTGATTTGCACCTCCTTTAGGTCATCTTGGCGACTAATAACATAGTCAAGGAGGTGCCAGTGGTTTGATCGAGGATGTTTCCATGAGGTCTTGTATTTGGTTTTCATCTGGAACCAGGTGTTAGTGATCGTAAGATTGTATTCTGAGCACAGTGTAAGGAGTCGGAGTCCGTTGTTGTTCATCTTCCCTACTCCATGCTTGCCCAGAACTTTGTCCCATGTTTCAAAGATTAACCCAACTCTAGCATTGAAATCCGCTAAAAGTAGTATTTTGTCAGTTGGTGGTACTTCCGCAAGAGCAGTTTCCAATATACTATAGAAGCAGTCTTTCGTTTCTTTATTAGCATCAAGGGTGGGTGCATAAGCGCTGGAGATGGTAACATAGCGACCTTTGACCATGTCATGAGCCTTTCGTTTATTCCAGCAGGCGTCTCAAGGATGTTGCGAAGGAGTGATGTTTTGACAGCTAGACTCACCCCATAGTCACGGCGCTTGTCTTCTGGTAGTCCACTCCTGAAAAAGGTGTAGCCCTCCCCCACTTCCGTCAGCGAGTCCTCCCACTCAGTCGGGTTTCGCTAAGAGCAGCAATATTTATGTTATATCTCTTGAGTTTATTAGCGACCAGGGCAGATCTTCTTCTTGGTCTTTCAATCTTCCTCTGTCCAATAAGGTTCTGACATTCCAGGTAGCACTATTAGGTTCTTTCTTAATCTGATTATTTTGATTGTTTCGACTGCATTAGGAGGTGACTCGACGGCTGAAGCAGGCCGCCCGAGCAAGAGTCAGACAGCATTTGTTTAGGATCATCTTTTCTAGGTCCCTCCGTTAGGAAGCAGTTGAGATCTGCTTGTCATGGTGGAAGCTGCCGAAGAGACACACTGCCCTGTCCCGTGTCTCAGCGACCATCACTTCACCACCGCCTACATGCAGGTCGGGGCTAAACACTTTCAGTCACATCCTTGACCTGTGCCCCCCACCCGTTCCCATCGCCGTAGGTCTTTTCGAGATGATGACGAGATGATGAGGATGATTGGAGCAAAGGGCCTGCATAATGAGTGGATTTTGAGTGGGGATGATGTAGCGCAAGACACCACTCCCACTACCACGGCCTCCCCCAGCAACTGTCGGTGGCATAAGAGACCCATGACCGACTGAGCGGGGTCACAGGAGTCTGCCGAGAACGCAGTTTATTGTGCTTCGCCTATTACGTGACTCCAAACACAGTTTTTTCATTAGGGGTTGATTCCAGTAGTTTTGCACTTTACCAGTTAACCCACAAGACGGTGGGACAGGGGTTGGTGGGTGCCAGGACATGTCCACACGCCATTGAGCATGCACACTGCACCTCTGGGGCCCCCTGTTGCTCCGGGATCCCCTACTGTATTAGCCTAGGGTCACTAGACACCCAATTAACGTGTGCTGCCACGAGGAGGCTCAGTGGGAGTCTTGGCAATGGAGAAGCCGTGTACACACACACACACACAAACACACACAAACACACACACACACACACACACACACACACACACACACACATACTGTGCTTCCTCATCCTGATCAACGACGCTCTATCGGACATTCCTCACAGGTGGAAGTACGTGGATGACTGCACTGTGGGGGTTTCAATGGACAACACCGCACCAGACTACTCATCGCTACAAGGCACCCTGGACAGGCTACAGTCATGGACTACGGAGAATAAGGTCATCATCAACCACACCAAAACCGTAGTCATGCACATCAATACAGCCACCAATCCAGTGCAAGCCCCAGCAGTCACAGTGGGTGCCCATCCTCTCCAGCTGGTGCAGTCTGCCAAACTCCTGGGTGTAACTATAGACAACAAACTTGACTGGAAGGCCCATGTAAATAACACAGTCAAGGCAGCCTTGTACCGTCTCTACATGCTACGACGACTTAGGTCACTTGGGACACCCACGCCAGAGCTGAGGACCATCTACAACGCCTTTATTCTCCCCAAACTAACGTATGCGTCACCAGCCTGGTCGTCTTCTCTCAACTCCACCCAACAACGTCAGCTAGAGAAGGTACAGAAAAGGGCCTGCAGAATCATGCTCGGCGCAGAATACTCCGGCTATACCAACGCTCTCTCCACCCAGGAAATGCCATCCCTCAGTGACATCCACCACCAAGCACTGGAAAGGTTTGGCAGCCAATTAATGCACCACCCTCGTCATCGCCACCTCCTGCCACTGGCAGCCACCCACCCACCTCGCTCAGTCCGCCACTACAACAAAATTCAGCCCATAAGAGCCCGCACCGATAGATATAAGAATTTAGATGATATAATTATCATGTCTCCGGAAGTTTCCTCACACCTCGTGAGACGGGAACATGTGTTAGCTAAAATTCAAGATGCTAACTTAAAGTTAAAAGGCTGATGATGTACGCGCTTTCATTGGTATGGCGAGTTTTAACCATTCCTTTATACAGGGATTTTCAAAAATAGCTCTTCCCTTAACTGATTTGCTTAAGAAAGATGTACCTTCCAAGTGGGAAGAACAGCAATATAGTGCTTTTGTTGAATTAAAAACCCACCTTACCAGAGCGCTCATCTTATGTTTTCCAGACTTCTTGAAACCTTTTATGATAACCAAAGACCCCAGCTACAGTGGTTAGGGGCAGTGTTATCATAAGAAAGTAAAGGGAAGCAACTCCCAATAGTGTATGCTAGTTGTACCCTCTGCAAAGCAGACAAGAACAGCTGTGTTACTGAGTTAGAGGCTTTAGCTGTGTTATGGTCTTTAAAGAAATATCGCGATTATGTGTATGGATATCCAATTGTTGTAACTACAGACCACTAAAGAGTTGTCAGGCAAGTTCGCCAGATGGTTTCTCACTATTCAGGAGTTCAAACCATTACTTAAGTACTTATAAGGAAGAAATAATTTTGTGGCCGAGTACGTGCGGCGCAGGAAGCTGATCCTATGTGGTCACATATATTGTCTTACGTCAAAGGTAGTACACCCAATTTAGACATTAAACCTCCTGTTCCTATTCGTGAATTTGTTGTTCACGATAATGTTCTTTGCCGGCAAACCAAACTTGGTGTTCCTACTCGTACTGTAACTCAGTTAGTCATACCCGATTCGCTTGTGCACGAGCTACTAGTCCTTATGCACGACACTCCAAATTAGCTCACCCAGGCAAGGACAGATGCATTAAACAAATGCGCTTAAAGTACTTTTGGCCCAAGATGGCTAAACAGATTTCAGAGAATGTGGACAATTGTCACGTTTATAACGAGAATAAAGGTACTACTTTAGCACCTCTCCCTGTTCTCAAATATCCTACAGCCTCTCGACCTTGGGAGAAGGTTAGCATGGATGTTTTAGGTGGTCTAGTAGAGACTCATCATAATAATAAATATCTTTTAGTCATGATACACACATCTACACGTTACTGTGAACTAGCACCTATCCCTGATAAAAGTGCAGAGACAATTGCCCGAGCCCTTAAGAGTTGTATTCTCGACAGGCATGACACTCCTAACGTTCTACTTACAGATAACGGAGGTGAATTTAACAACGCGCTATTAACTAAATTATGTGAACTGTATCACATTAACAATTGTAATATCACAGCCCATCATTCAGCCATCCTGGCTGAACGACTTAACAGGAAGATTCTTTATCATCTTCGTACTAACTTGGATTTTACTAACATGAACTGGGATGAGTGTATGTCTCACGTACAAAGTTCTATTATCAGTTCTTATCATCAATCCATAGGCGACACACCTCACTTCGCTCTCTACAATTATGACAGACGACTTCCATTCGAGGTTGAAGTAGGGAGACAACGATTTTTCGGTGACCATTTCATCGGCGAACGGTATCGATAGTCCAAACTAATTCACCAGCGAATTACGCATGAGTGGGAAAAGGCGCTTAACGCCTTCACCGCCGAACGCAACAAAATTACACGACCCATTGACAATGTCGCAGGTCGTCTAGCGATGGTTAAAAATTATGTAAGATCCAAAACAGACCCTATGTTCGTCGGTCCATATAGAATTATGTAACACGAGTCAGGTCACAGGTACCAGTTGAAACACGTACACACAGAGGAAACAAGACATGAACACGGGGACAACCTCAATCTTCTGAAGCCCCAAGGAGCAGCTCAGTCACATGGAGCCGCTGAACCTTGTGTCATCCCTACTGTTCTTTCTTCTCCTACATGTCAATTGCGTACTAGATCCACTTGTGATGGACATTGCTGTTCTAATGAGTAACTTTTACTAACAGAACCATGATGCTCCTATTCATTCTCTGCCTGATTCTGGGGCTACTGACACACGAGCCGTCACGGCCCGGTAGTCTTGTGTCTCCACCCCAGAATGTATCATAATTAGACAGATGTTCGCGATATGCGTACAATGAGAACCATTACCTAATATTGTCACCAGGTTGTCTAATTTGTCTAATGATTTGGTCTATCTCACAAAAGGGTTAATGAGTCTATTGTGGATACCACTCCTATACACTGCCAATGGACTTGGCAACTGGAGCGTACCAAATCATCTTTGGACCTCATTAT